TATAAAGAAATACATTAACATCAGAAGTCAGTTGCTGCAGAAGAGATATGGAGTTCAAGATAACATTTCAATCAGCTCTTCATCTTCCCGAGCCAGGTCTAGCAGTAAGGTACCAAGTTATAATGTTATTACAAAACATGTCCTAGTTCTCTGGGTTACTTATAATTTGGTATCACAATGTGATTTTAGGCAAGCTTAGCAGTTGATGAATTATCTGGCAGTTCAAAGAAGAAAAATGACCTAACAATATCGGAAAACTATGCTTTTACTGGAGTTCATCATATTTTTGATCAGGTTAGTATTATAATATTCAAACTTTATGGCAGATAGTGATTAAGCTGCCATTAAGTTTGAATAGCACTGTAAACACTGCAAGCACTGTTTTGATATGTGTAAGACAATTTTTTGAGAACATATGAAGTAAGTATATTAATGTTTTAGCATAGTGATGAAGTGAGTGTAGTTAAATTCGCAAACAACGACCGCTCGAAGCTGTGCTGTGCGTCGCGCGACGGCACTGTGTCTATATGTGATGTGACGGCGACCCCGCCACGTGTCTCTGTTATACTAGAGGGACACACCGATGCTGTCACTGGTAAGTAATAATATTGGACAAAAGATTAAATATGTTAAAAAGTTGACCATGTCCTATGTTAATGAGCTTAAAGTCTATAAATTAATGTTTGACATGTATTTGTTCTATGCTACATTGTTACCTTTTGTAGCATAGAGAGCTGAACCATTTTTATAAAGTGTATTGTTCTGTTCATATTTTGCATGTGAGTGTTATCAATGTTGTAAATTCTATGTCTTACATTTTACTTGTTTGACCACAGATTTCTTCCCATAGAAAGGCTATAAGCCGTGGTATTTTGTGCCTATTTGATTTTCGCCATTTCCGGAAGATTCGGTATACAAGACGTGCATTTGTGTGTCAGACTGCGACTGGTCTGCGTCTAACGAGCTGGTAGTGACGTGTGGACTGGACGGCGCACTTTGTGTGTGGGACGTGGCGCGACGTCGGCGGTTGCGCGAGGCTCGCGACCAGCTCTCCGCGCCGCTTCTTTGCTGCGCTTTCCAGCCAGCAAACAATAACATGGTCATTGTATCCTTTTGCAATAATTATAGCCATTATTATGTTTATTTGATACAACAATCAATATCCAACATCTCGTCTGGTGAAGAATGGTGAAGAATTGTTCTATTTATATTTGATAATGTCTATTAAGTTATAATCCTAAATCATTAACGCCTGTTTAATATTTTTCGTACTTCAAATATCCTTAACGCAACCATTAGGCGGGAAACGCGAGAGGAATGGTGGAAGTTCTCAATGTGTCGACAGGAATATATCCTAGAGGTGAGGTTTAGTCTTAGTTAAAAGAATTAACTTAGCAGAGCTTTAATAGAGTAAAACTATAGTGAGTTGTTGTCAGGTGGCAGCAGCATATTAGGCGGCAAGGTGCAGGCCATCGCGTGCGAATCCAGTGGCAGAATGTTTTGGGCGGCCAATGATAAGGTATCAAAAGAGTAACCAACACTTTTCATGAATCTTGTATCTCTGTAAATGATAATGAAGTCTCCATTAGATTTTAATATAATTAAATAGTTTTAAAATATAGACTTGTGGACTAAATTGTCGTCATTGTACGCGGGTAGGGTGTAATAGTGAGTTACCGCACATCGGGTACGGGGGCGCTAAGCAAGCTGCGGAGATGCTGCGTGGGCGGCGCAGTCACCAGCCTCAGCTGGAGCCCCTGGCTGGCGCGCCATCCCGCACTGCTGGTCAGCGCCGCTGACAACTCGCTGTACCTCTTTAGGTACAAATATAGTCAATCAAACTTTACTGCAACTCTAAATTTCGTTTTGTATTCACAATAAATAAAGATTCGAATGATTAAAAAAAAAACGCTATAACGTTTTTCTTTCTTAATAATACTATAAAGCCGTTCTTCTAATTGCACGTATGTGAGCAGAATAACGGACCGCGAGGGTAGTTTGAGCCTGAAGAAGCGTTTCGAGACGGTACACCGACATCACGGTGTGCGCTCGACCTTCTGCCCCATTATGTCGTTCCGGCGCGGCGTGTGCGTCGTCAGCGGCGGCGAGGACGCCTGCGTCTACTTCCTTGACATTGAGGGTCATGCCGGACAACCCGTCGTCAATAAGCTCCAAGGTGAGACCATATTCTGACCAAAATCCAACCCGAGTCATGTTTTCAGACAATTATTAGTGTTGGTCCTTCGTGTCAGATGGATCGGAGTCAGCTATGCTAGGGATATTTGTTGATTAAATTATTCATCAAACATCTAAAATATAGGCAAAAGCTTTAAATAAATAATCAATCTCATATGCAAACTAGTGGAAAACTAATTTCCACTTTTGTCTATCCAATCCAACCAAGTTCTAATAGCTGGACTAAAACAGCGTGTGTTGTTAGGGCACGCGTCTGCAGTGCTGGGCGTCAGCTTCAGTTACGACGAGAGCCTGCTGGCCAGCAGCGATGTCTCCGGCCTGGTCATCATCTGGCGTCGCGGCTGATCGCTGCTACAGTAACATATTATAAGTCAAAAGCAATCTCTTGTTACAAGGAATAAGGTCTAATTACATTCCAAAATTGTGATGTCCCGAATAAAAAGTCACATGAATTGAAGTTACATGAATTATTGTATTTATGAAATGTTTATAATTTTAATATAAGTTAATATCTTAATAATTATATTATAAATATTTAAAGGTATTCTTATTTATCAATAATCCTGTTTTTATTTGAACTTAAAATGTCGTGAATGTCGACATTTTTTTTATATTTAAGGTTTTGGCAAATAAATAAAATACAATTTGAGTCACAAATTTTATTAATTATTTATTATTAATTCTTTTCAATATAAATACTTTTAAAAGACTCGATAGATTCACAATATTAAAAGATTTGCCGACGCGTTTTCATTCACTAAACATTAAATCGACACAGCTCATACAAATCAACAACTTATAAATACCATTTATTGGACAATTCAAAAGTAATTCCTTCGTTTCACTTATGCCGCTGCGACGGAAACTAATCAATCGAATTTCTAAAACGATCATTTAAAATACTATAAAAAAATCTAAGACATTTCGTACACTACATTGATTGTTGGTCTCGTAAATGAAATTCAACGTTCATACAACTGACCAAACAGTAAAGTTAACAAAATGAACATCTATCGTATATACACAACTGTACAACAACGAAACTTCCCTACAAATGTATAAAAAAAAATTGTAAAGAACGAACAATAAACACGTAGACGATTCATAAATTTCATATTAAAAAAAATCAATTCAACATTAAATTAATATTTACACCAGAGTAACTAAATAACTAAAGAGCGATGATATGGAAATGAGAAGAATTGCACATGAGGTTAACACTTGGACGTATCGCGTGGCGCACTGATGACGCGACAATCCAGGCCAATTTGGATCTCACACTCAGCATTAAAAAAAACGAATAAAACCTCCTTTGGGGAAGTTTTAAAATACATTTTGCGATTACCAACATTTAAAAAAAATGTTTACAGCCAGATTTATGCAAAGATAATTTAATTTCGGCTCGCAAAGGGTTGAATTAAAAAAAAAAGAATTTTAAAAATATCAGAAAAGAAAAGATATTTAAGGTTAAATGAACTTGTATAAAATATTTATATTTTATGTTTTTTAGGTTGAATATTTGCCGAGTGTGTGTGAAAACGCTACGTCGACCAGTAGTCACCACAAAATCCACATTAAGACTACTCTACACTTATCTAATATAATTTCTTACTTAAGTCTAACAATTGGCGTTTTTTTTCGAATAACTGAATCTGCAATTAAAATCCTTCGAAGATTCCGTTTTATTAGAAACATGTTTCTAATATAACGAAAAAAAATGATGTTATTTTTCCGATTATAAAATAGTTGCTAACTTGACTTGTAATTGCAGCTCTAAAGTTTGAATAAATATTTCGAAATTTTATGTATGATGTTTATTCATTGTGCGTAGATGTAGTGCCACAAGAGAATTCAGAATTTACAATTCGGATACACACACTAAAATTAAAACATTCAAAAACTAAACATCGCGCTTTTATCAACTGTTATATGCATTTAAAATTTACTCAAGTTATTTAACGTGGATTTTTTTAACTAATAATTTTAAATAAATAACAGTTTGTCTGTTAAAATTATCGTGCGTGTATCCAAACTCACACCAGTATATACTATCTAATACACTACCAAGTTAAGAAATAAACAATTAAAAATATTATTACGTATGAAAATCTAGCAAGTACAAGTATTGGGTTACTATCACTTAGCACTATACAATAGTTTGAATCTATTGTGAGTTTAAACTGCGGTGACTGTTATTGACATATCAACGGCCCCTATAATGTAACTAAAAATGGACGTTTTTAAAGTTGATTTTTGGTTTATCTTTTTAATGTAAAGCATGATTTTGACAAAATCGAATTTATTTACGTTTTTCTATTGGTAAAAGTACAAGAAAGATTAAGAAATATGTAAACATTCGTCATAATAAGCTATTTTAGACAGTAAAAAATTTAGAATTCTTCAGTTACGATACTTCACTTAGGGACTGGCGACATATGTTATCTCCTACATTCTTTTTTAACAAACAGAGAAGACAATATGTCAATAAAGTTCACTGCAGTTAAAATCCACTGTAATGTATAAAAATTGTGTCCAAAAACCATTGAATTAACCGAATCGAAATAATAATAGTAAAAACAGTTAGATGAATTAACAACTATCATTTTGCATTCAAATATAAATACATAAAAATAGATAAAAACTTAATATAGATTAGGCTTTAGAAACGTACCTTAAATTCAGCTATAATATTCTTGCAAAAGAGAAATTGTTGAGAAAAATCCCGCAGTGTGTTGCACTATTATAAATATTTAAGAACTTAATCAGTATATTTTCAGTATAAAGCGCTACTTTCTAGTTGTATACAATAATTCACGGCTATTTGTACCATTGTTCAGTTAACACCAAGACAATTCACTGGCGTTCCTCACACTAAATCTATTTGCCTAGATGTTAAAGGCTTGAAGGCTTTTTACTTCCGATATGTAGAGTTCGAAAATTTTGTTTTCACATATGACATATGAAAAGTGTTAATCGTTGGGTAGACAATTTTTGATGTCATATAAAAAGATAATTAAAGTTGTTAGTTTTTCTACGGCCAGTTAAAACACTAAATTTGCATTATGGCAAGGAACACGTAACCAATTCCACTTCAGCATGCATCAGACTGACATTTGGCTGGAACAATGCATGATCGTTCCTTGCTTCTACGCGATACAAGCATCCAATATTAATGAGTTATTTACAGAGAGATTATCATCTAGTTTTAATTAGGAGACGTTGGGCGTTGTTTTATTTCGTTCTAGCGTGGCTTTGGAGCTTCTCTCGATACCGGAGTCCTCGTCCCCGCTGTCGAGCACGGTGCCTTCGCCCTTCACTCCCTCCACTGTGGAGTTGGAACTATCTTCCTTATCGGAGTCGTGAACCTCGTCGGTGAGTACGATGGCGCGCTGCTCGGGATCCGCGCTGGTGGAGGCGCACTTGCCGAACGTCGAGAAGGTTGGCTCGGGGATGACGTCATCCGGCACGTCGTCTCGCAGCGGCAACGTGGACGTGATGACGGGCGTCTCGTCCGTCATCACGAGCGGCGTCGTGCCGAGCTCCGGCCGCTCCTCCTGGCTGCGTCGCTTCGGCTTGTCGAGCACGAAGTTGAACACACGGTTGTGCCGGGGCGAGGGTATGTGCGGGCTGGGCGGTAGGTCCAGCTTCAGCTTGTCCCTCGTGTGCCGGAGCCCTCCTAAAGCTTCGCCCCCCGGTGAGCTGGGGCTGACGGACTCGCTGGAACTGGCGCTATCGAGGGGCCTCCAGCAGGCGTCGGCGTCAGTAATCTTCTTGGTTTTAAAGTCGTCTTCGGTGCTGGTGGAGCCGGGTGTGACATCCTCGACGCCGGAGTCGGGAGTGGTGAAGTCGAGGGAAGGCGTGGTGGTGTGCGCGAGGGCGTTTGGAGGGAGGGGTGCGGGTGAGGGCGGGGCGCGGAAGTCTTCCACGTCGTCGACGTCGTGGTCGAGCAGCGCCTGCTTGGCGTGCATGCCGGGGAAGAACTGGCTCGCGGTCGACATCACGCCGAGCGTGTCGAACTCGCGCTCGAACGGACGCGTCGACGATGATATAAAGAAGTCTTCGTCGTAATCTTAAAAACATAAATAGTATGATTTTGATAGCCCTGCATGATGTGCAATATGAGTCGTAGTGTTGCCTACGTACCTGCGCCGAATGCGATACCGGAGCGCAGCGGGTAGAGGTCGAGTGCGTTATGCTCGCTGAACAGCTGCCCGTAGTCCAGCTCCGCCTCCTCCGCGCTCGCCGCCTCCCAGTCTACAAAGTAAACATCGGTATAATTTAAGCCATGGATAGATTATTTTGCTGAAACTTGCTTATTGTAGAATGTATGTTACCGCAGTATGTGGAGAAGTCGGGCAGGTCTGGCGGTGCGTCGACAGTGGCCTCGCATACCTCGCGCGGGTACTCGTAAACCGAGTGGTACTTTTGACGCTTGAACACTACACGCTTCTTGCTATCCTGTGATACAAATGGTCACATTGCTTAACGTAAACGTTTGCTTATATTTTGTTGATTCATATATAAGGTAAATATTTAGCATACCGGGGCTGTGTGATCGAGGCTGCGTAGTGAAGACTTTGCGGGCGCGGCCCGGCAGTCCCACGAGGAGGGCACGAACTCCACCTCGTCACCCTCCGAGCCCGATGACCCGGAAGAACCGGAGGAAACGTGCTCCGCCATCTCCGACACTTCGGGACCTTCAGGAGCCTGGGGCGCACCTCCCTCGCGATGCTGAATAGTGTAAAAAAAACTTCCTTAAATCTCTCCCCAATTTTCTTTATTCGACGAGTTAACCTTAGTTAACATAAATTATTTTTTAGTATATTATGAACTTGGCGTAGCTAATTTTATATACATGGTAGACTGACTTAGTGTTATTGTTTCTTTTTCTAAAAAGGCATAATGTGAAGAATGAAATATTGAAATGTCAGAAGAGACGGTTATGATGGCACCATATTTTGAGTGTACTTACATTGATTTTGGATTGATTATTATTTACTTGATTATAACATTTTTTTTTAAATCTCATGTCGCTAAAAATAATTGACAAAGCAGAACTTACACAAAAGATCAAATATTAAATGGCTATAAAATCACTGCTGTATATTTTTAATTCGTACTAGGTGATATTCTATGACAACTTTAGAAGAACACAATTGAATCGTATATGTCCACTGCTAAAAGAGAAACGTAAAATTGTCATCTTTTTCGTGCCGGAATAAATAATAAGAATATTTTTAAACTGGTGGTTGGCAGTGAAAACGCACGGTTTGAATGATGCTTAAGCTTTCAATGATCTGACTCGTGTTATAAAAAAAAAATCTTTACAACATAGCATTATATGGTAAAGTGTAACTTACTTGTGGGAATGCGTATAATATTAAAATGCAGGCAAAGCGAAAATAGACCCTATATAAAGATCTGTTGAGACGATGTTTGGCAAACATACAAAACATATTAGTCATTTCATTCTATCTTTTAGTGAAAAACAGAGATAGCAATATGTTCAATAGTTTGTTTTGTATGAATCAAACATGACATCAATATTGTAATGAGCTATATTGGCAATACTCACGTGTTGGAAGTGCGTGGTGGAGACGAGACAGGTGGCGTTGCCGTCGCCGTCCTACGCACACGTACAAATACATGCAAGCACACCGACACCACACATTTGGTACACATGTACTGGTTACATTCACTCTATAAACGTATCTTTCGCTTTTTGATAACTGATTACAATATATGACATGTGAAAATTTTAACGGATTAATTATGACAGTCTGTTTAAATAGTGCCCTGGGCGTTATTTTTACGGCGACCTCTTTTTTTTACCATAACTTTGAGTGGGGACGGGCCTAACCCCCCAGCAGGGTTATGTGAGACCGTCGCGGACGAGAGCGAAAGCGTGCCCGTGGCCCCGTCCCGATGCGTTGGAGGAACAGAGGGGTTTAGTGGGTATGCCTCCGCTATGAAAGGGTTATGTGAGACTGTGTCGTCTCTTACTGCCCAGCGCCCTGTGCCGCCCAACCTCGCCCTACCCTAGATCCGGCAGTATTTATATGTATATTTATCTACAGTATCTTGTAAATAATCAGCTTTCAAAAAGCGAAAGATAATTTCTGTAACCTTTAAGTTAATTGCCCTGTACATGTATACAAATTAACTATTAATACTTGGGGTCTATCTACCATATCCAGACATTAGCGGGGATGTTCCATAATTGTGTTTATTAAAAAGCAATCCATCACAAAAAAAATAAAGATTCTATTACACTCGTATGGGATAAGATTATTAATATTTATACAAGAATCTGGAAAAAAACTACAATATTTGAAGGACTTTTGAGCATCACAGAATTAATCACATTAATTAAGGGGTTATCAGACACAAAACAATGAGGATGTTTTCGACGCGACTTAACAAATTTTCATAGTCGTAACTCCTGCGTATACTGCCATCTCTGTCTTTCTCTTTGAAAAAACCGAGATAGCAATATTATTACGCATGAGCAAGGACAGTTGAAATTTGTTGTAACACTATGTTCAATAAAGGATTTTTAAGGAATAAATTATATTTTAAGACTAATTTAGTGCAATTTTTAATATAAGTAGGTATTAATTAAAAATCTATCTATTGTACATAGTGTAAATTAATAAATCTATTTGGTGGGGGTATCTAATTGTAGGGGGGGAGGGGGAGGGTGAGAATTCAAGACCAAAACCAGTGGTTAAAAGCGTCACTTCTTATGTGAGACTAGGACAGATAAATATAAGCATTTCACCCTGAATGTAATAAGTGCCAGCTCTGTGTAATTGACTCACCCTCCATATGAATTCTCCGCTGGATGAGTTAGTTGAGTGCGAGTCACTCTCGCTGTCCCACTCTTTCAGTATGTCAGTGACGGTGTCGGGCTTGCTGTCCTGCTCGCACTCGGGAGATGTTGGGTCAGTGGACGAGTCTTGATTGAACGATGTACTCATGACTTCTGCACCTGGACCTAGTCGATTGTACGCTAGTGAGTCACACGTGTAGGTAAAATTACATCGCAGTTTTATAAACACAAGCTATCAGCCGCGGATCCGTTCGTGCGAAATTAAAAAAAACCTTATTTAGTAGCAAATGTGTTCTTCCGAACTATGTTCTACATCTCTGTCAAATTTCAGCGAGATCCGTGCAGCCGTTCTGGAGATATCTTCTAACAAACATCCATCCATCAAAACATTCGCATTTACAATATTAGTGAAATTTCTTACAAATATTCAGATTTATTTACATATATTATATATAATGGTTATATTTGCAATGCATTAAAAGTTTTTTTTTATTTATAGTACTCACCAGTAAATCTGATGTCATTCATCAGAGGCAAATAATAATCTAATGTGCAGTATTTCTTTTCGTTCTGTAAAAAATTCTCCGTCACTGACGTCATAGTTTCATCATCAGCTTCAGCAACGCCGTTCATATCTTGTCTTACATTCTCGTAAATATTCTCTTCGTGACTTTCTAAAACTCCGTTTTCTTTTTCAACCTGACTGGATGTACAATGAATTTCTTTATCAGTTAAAGAATTTTCTAAATCTTTCTCATTATCATCGACATTACTTTCAACGAGTTCTTCGAATGCTTCATTCAGAAAGCTCACGGTCGCGTAATTTTGACTATCACCATTACATCTAATATTATCAGTGTCTTTACTACAGTTACTTGTGTTCGGGTTTGATTCATTTACGCTAACTCTAACGTCTTCTGTTGTATGTTCTTCTTGCGATGTTCTATCATTTTCTAGAACATTTTGTTCTATTCTTTCCTTAATAAAAGGTTGGAACAAACCCGTGTTTGAATCGTATATGTTACTTTGAGGATCACAATTTCTATTAATATTTGGACTGATCCTGTTTATTAATAAAGGGCTTTCCGTTATGATAATAGAATGAGGCTGTTCCGTTTCTTCTTCTGTATCTAAATCTGTTATAAATATATCATTAGACTTATTAATATCGTTAATATGAGATTCATTTAAATATACTTCACTAGGCGGACTTGTTACTACATAAGGAGTGTTACAGTTAATCAAACTTTCTGATTGATTACTATTATCTATTGCTTGCATTATAATATCATTAATCCTTCTTTCATTTTGTAATAATGATGAACTAGCGTCGATTAGTGATGAAAGATTCTGGTGCCATAAAGGTGTTGAGTTATCTTGAACATTTGTACCATTATCTCTGCTGTTCTCCCGCGAATCTATTTCCTGGGGCTTTGTTATAACTGAGCCTTCAAAATCTGAATACGTTAGAGTTCCATCAGGAATTCCTGGACTGTCTTTGCTGTTTCTGCTCAAACTTTTGCTTTCACCTTCTAATAAAACCTCCGTATCTTGATTGAGGCTGGTGACTTCATTACTTATACTAGACGATATGTCTTGAGGTCTCATCTCAGCTGATAGTAGAAATGATTGGAAATTTGGCAAGTTTTTCGTCAGATATTCGCTGTTATCTGTGTTCATTTGAGGCAAATTAATCGGTATGCCTTCTATATTATCTTCGTCTGCATTAATTTCAGCCAATGGTGTACTCGTTACGTGAGAATTGGCTATAGTTTTGTGCGCGAGATCTTGGCTTTCATCGATTCCTATAATAATGTCTTGACTGTCCATTTCAGGTTTGTTATCACTATCGGAATTATCTTTAAGACAAGTAACATCGACGCTGTCCATTTTATTGATGCTCGGTTGATTTGTTATTGGGCTATTTATTTCTAAACATTCCTCTTCCTTATCTACGACTGATTTTGGAGGCGGTGAGTTGAAGTCGTCTCCGAAAGGAGATCTTCTAACCAATTCGGGTTGTGATAGTTTCCAAGCCTCATCGGCCGTTGAGAGTAATTCTGTGGAGCAGTTGGAACCAGAAGGTAATCCTGACATAAGGGTGCCGTAAGCGAGATCTTTAGTTTGTGTATTCTTTGTTGAATCATTTAATTCAGATTTAGTTTGAACCGATGTGGTCGCTCCCGCTTCGGTTTTCGGTTTCGTATACGTGTTGAAATTAGCTGTGATGGAATCAGGTGAGAATGTTTCACAAATCTCCGACTTGCTATCGTGTATGATGTAAGTGGAGCAGTGACTCAATTCTTTTTCCTGTTCGTTGTGCGTCAGCGTGTCCGTGCTTTCACTTTTATCATCCTTCTCTTGTTCCTGATTAACTTCGAAGTCGATCGGTACGTCAGGATCCATTGCTAGATCATCGAAATTTTCTTCTACATTGTAGAGGGTATCGTTCGAACACCACGAGTCTATACTGGTAGCTTTCGATAGACACTGAGTTTCGGAGGGTTTCGAGGACTTGGCATCTGTGGGTACTGTCGGCTTGGATAAGGTAGAACAGCCCGCCAAGTTGTCGGAGTTATCGGGCGCCGAGGTATCGGTCGACGGACTCAATAAAAATGGCGATACTTGAGACAATCTTTCGCAATTCGATTGTTTTTCATCGTCGCTTTTGTTATATGTTCGGTCATCGATCGGCGATAGCGGATCGCCTATTAGTTTCTTCAATGGGCTGGCGTTTAAACTGTCGGCGCTCATAGTAATTCTGTGAAGAAAAATAATTTACATTTCCTTATTTCATTAATTTACGCATGTAATTTGGATTCTATAGATAACTTACTCTTTACTGCTGGCGACGTCCTTGTGTACTGTGTACGTTAGGTTAAGTGAGTTGTCGCGGGAGTGCAGGGTGTAGGTGGAGTGGTCGTTGGGGCCGCTGTGTGCGCCGGTGGGGAGCTCCGTCACATCATCCGTCGAGTTGTTGCAGGGCTCCGGGTAGCTCTCAGATGATTCAGTACAGGTCGATATCCCTGTTGAAGAACTCAAACATAAATAAGACAGAAGGCATAAATATACGTATCTTTTACGTACGCAGACTGACATCTACGTATACGTACAGTTGGTGTCGTTCTCATAGGCGGAGAGCTGTGGGCCTGTCTCCTCAGCGATGGGGCTGAGCGCGCCGGGGTAGCTCAGCACGAGGTCGGGCGGGGGCGGCAGCTCGGCGCGCCATTCCCCTACCACCTCTCCCGGGCACTCCGCATCCCCCGCACTCTCCGCCGGCTCGATCGCAGCCACCTGAACATTTATTACCAGAATATTATACACATTTTGCTAACCATTATTAAGTTTTTAAGTAAAAACTTCTTTAAAATATATACCTGTGCTAATGGTAGCTTCAGTTCTAATTCATCTCGCAAAGCTTTGACGCATTCTGTATCCAGAGTGAGATCTTCCCTGACATCGTCGAGTGGTATTCCATTGCCCGCTAAGTAGGACTCGGGCATCGCGTCGCTCTCGCGCATCAGCACCTCGTCCTCCGTCACGAATCCTTCCACTGTCAAAGGTCCAGAATATTCTATGTTCAAATTGTTCTCGTTCTCCGCCATAGCTAACTTCGTTGTGATCTGCAGCTCTATTTGATTTAAATCAATCTCTTTCTGCAAAGAGCTTAAACCTGAATCCGGGGTGAACGGTGGTCCTGCTGTCTCCTTTAGCGTGGAAAATGTACGTGGAGCACTCTCATTCGGCGTATTTAAATCGATGTCAACTAAATATTTCTGTTGTGATGTCGACGCTAAGAAAATACCGGGAGAGTTGGGGGGCGTCGATGGAGATATATGTTTCTCTGTATTTGATTTTTCATAAGTATTCTCAGTGTTATCGCTTTGAACTTCAGGACTAGGTTTGGTTTCGCTCACAGTCGCCAAGTCGTCAAATACCAAGTCATCGTGGACAATATCGGGTACTTCATTCAGAAAGTTTCCGTCACGAAGAGGGGAAGGTGTCTCCAGATCCATCTCACTAAAGTTGGATGAAAACGCCAAAAATTCCTCCTTGGGTAAGTCGACAATTTCCGACTTCACTGCTTTGAACAATTCGAGTGAACAATTTTCAAACGGGCCTAAGACTATAGAACTGTTTTCATCATAAGTATCTGTGTGATGACTCTTGGTAGGAGATTCCAAAGGGCTAATATTTTCTGGAGCGCATCTTTGTTCCAACTTTGTTAGCGTAGATCCTAATTCATATTCTGGTACTTTAGTATCTGCAGTTGATTCAAATTGACAGTCATTGTTAGAATTTTCCTGATTATCAAAGGAATTTTCGCTTCCTTTTGGAGTGCTTGAGACAACTTCTTTAAAATCTGTATCTCGATTGGACATAACTCTTTCAGATTCAAGAAAACTACTCGTCTCTTTTATCATACTCGGCAGATCTAAGTATATAGTTGAATCTGTTGTAAGTAAAGTGTCAATATGTTCCATTTCGTTATCTCCATTCATTTCTAAATACGTATGTAGTGTATCGTTTGTATATTGTTCTATATTTATCTCATTCATGAGATCTTTATGAGAATATTCGCTAGCGGAGTCTTTTATCATAATTTCATTATCATCAGATCTAATCGGTGCAATGGCATTTGATTTACCTACATCATTAACTACCTCATCTAAATGTAAACTATCATTAATGACTAGAGACATAATATTGTCTTTTTCTGCAGATTCTTGTTCCGATACGGGCAAGATTTCATGGTTAATATTATTTTGTACTTCAGTGTCTTTTTTTAATTCCAATTCGGTTATTGCTAAAGTTGGTGATTCAGTGTTATGATATTCCTCAGATTCTATAGTGACATCATTCACTGACTTAGTTCCTGCATCATGTTCAATCTTTATATAATTTATCTTATTATCACAAGGTGTATGACAGTCTTCTCTTACATTCTTCTGTTCAACTTCACTTACACTAGGCACTGTTGCTACACACAATTCCTTCAACGTAGGTATTTCACTTAGACTATGATTCATTTTATCATTTGGCAATTCACTTTTAACATCATCTACGGTATCACTAGCTTCATTATCTTCAGTGTTTCTTTCTTGTTTCACATCCATTTGCACTATTTCAGCTTCACATATAATTTTTGTATCATTAACTAAATCATTTGTTGGTGTATCTGGTGTCAAATTTTCAAGTGTATTTTGACTGATCGTATCACTATGTCGTTCGAAAGAGTGGCTCAAAGTTCCGATAGTTTCCCGATCGCCTTCATCTTCACACGTATCGTTTCTCGTCTCCGAGTCGAATCCGACTTCTAGAATATTCTGGAAATTTGTTATTCCTGGGGATTTTACTAAACTCTTTTGCACCGGATAATCTTTCTTGCATTCCAAGCTTAAATTATCTCTGGATGGACTCGCTTGATGACTGGATTCGGAGCTGGATGTTTTTTCAGAGTTTAATATATTATCGAGATTCTTTATCACATCGCTAACATCCTTGTAATATCTGACATCATCCTGACTGCCCGTGATGATATCTTTCACCCACGGGTCCATCGAACTGTCGGAGCGATCGTAGTCCTTATCCTTACTATCGTCAAGGCTTACATTTCCTTGATGGCATTCTATGGCTGCTGTTTCGTTGTGTGTTAAGTAAATGTTTCTAACATCTTCCAGGGATCCATGTAAATTGGTTAGACTTTCAGACTTTATTTGAATTGATAGCGGATCTTTATCGGACATGATGCTACTGGAGCGGGAGACGGCTGTGTCGAGGTCTACGCTGAGCGTGTCGTGCGTGGTGGGCGGATTGTCGAGGTCTTGTTCGGAGTTGAAATGTGACGTCATGGAGGTGGAGGGCGCGTGCACGATTGCGACGTGCTCGTCTATCTTGGGTATGGAGTTGGGCTTGAGTCGCTGCCAGCGCTCCTCGAAGTCACTGCTGCCGTAGCCGTCGTCGTGCGCGGCGTCCACGTGCCGGCTGTGCGCGTGCGTGCTGTGCAGGTGGTTCAGCAGCGCATGCACTTGCCCGGCAGTGGGCCGCGCCTCTGGGTTTGCGTTCCAGCACAGTTGCATTACTTGATATCTAGAAAATATTTATTAAAATCATTTATATATCGAAAATTGAGATTATATAAGTTAGATATGTTAATATAACTTACAAATGTGTGCGATAAGGACATGGCAAGTCTGGCAAGGGCGGAGGCGCTGCGTGAGGCTGTGCGCCCCACGCGCATATCTCCCAGATCAGCGTACCCAGAGACCATACCTCACTATTGCTCTGCGACAAAGATAAAAGTTACAGACTAGTAAAGATACGTGGACATAGAATTGTAGATATTAAAGTGGTTACATTGTAAACAGCGGGGTATCTCCTGGTTTCCGGCGCAGCGGTGTCGTGCGGCGGGCGTGCGGCGCCGTACTGGCCCAGCACGGCACGCGCTGGCTCGCCCTCGCGCACCATCACACTGCCGCACCATAGAGTGCTGCAATACAACATTGTTCATACATTAATAACTTGTTAGATTACAAATTTAAGGAAGGAATTCGGTGTTTCCGTCATTTACAGTAGAAAAAAAAACTGTCGAATTGATTAGTATAGGTATCCTGTATGTATATTTATAAAAAAGCTATATGTAAATAAGTGGCAGTATAATGGTTTATAATATTAGCTGATTACAATGATATTAATATAACTTACCCATAGAGCAATCCTCTAGAGTGCAGGTATGCGAGTGCGGAGGAGACGTCACACATGAGCTGCAGCGGCACACCACTCTCGTTCAATATTGCCATTTTGGGACGATTCACTATTAAGTATTGTTGTAGATCCTGACAAAATACGTTTCATATCAAAAGGTTTTTTTTTTAATTACGCTAGTTAATTCGGGATATGGAACGAGTTTAGTTTCTGTTAGATTTTTGTCCAAGCTCATTAGTCTTATACTACGCGAAAAATTTTTCATATTAAAAATCTTATATTGACACATACATAGTAAAAATAGAAATAAAAAACATATTGCTACAGATAAAAAAAACCTATGCTAAGTTTAATTCAAAGGAGTTTTTATTCATAAAATGTCATTGATAAACTTCACGCACAATGAATGTAATAAAAAACGTTCGGTATTTGATTCATAAGCAATTTCATTGATAAACATATAGACCTATTATGTATTCCACGCACAATCAATACCGTATCGAGGCAGGGATCTACAACTCTACGTTATTGTATTGAACGTAGACCTCTTCTATACTGGTCGACCAATAAATTTTACTGCATTATATGTACGTTTAACTGTGGGTTTCTGATACAAAAATATCTGTTTAAAACATATAGTTATCTTTATTTTGTCAAAAATAATGATAGGGAAGACGATATATTTTATAGAGAGATTTTGGTCTCAGAAACTCACGGTAAGAGGGACTTGAAATTTACTTTCAACATATTTGTTACTTTAGTATTATTAAATCTGTTATCTTATCTTACTAACATTATAAATGCGAATGTTTAGACGGATGGATGTTTGTTTGAAGGTATCTCCTGAACGGCTGAATGGATCTCAATGAAATTTGGCACAGATACAAAACATAATCTGGAAGAACATTTAAGCTACTAATTATCTTTTTTTATCCTGCGGGACAGAGTCGCGGCAGCTAGTATTAAGATAAACACAAAGAAAAATTTATTCAAGAACGAATAAACGCAACAAAAAGATACTCCGGGGTAATTACAGAATAGGACACAGAAAATTACAATTTTAATATCAAAATTCGTCCGCCTTAATCGAAAAAAAAAGAAAAGATAAGATGCTTACAACAGAGCAAAGTTCAAACAGCAATATCCATGGGTCTTCCTGCAGACATTTGGCGATGAAGCCAAGTATGTTCTCATGCCTCGCGTCTCGGTATATCCTTGCTTCATCTAAGAACCGCGCCTTATCTTCCAAACTGGCGTTCTGATTAAGAATCTTGACAGCCACTGATGTGCTTGTGTTGTCCAATTCACCCTCAACCACCTGTTAATAATACATATATCTAAATGTTCTGGAGAAAGTTAAACTACAACTAAAGAGATTCATCCAGTTTTTAATATAAAGAAATTACCCGTCGTCTTTACTTAAGGGGTTTCCGTAATCTTTATGCCTAAGCTGTTGTGATCATCATCATCAGCTCACTATACGTCACCAATGAGGGGCTCGAAGCCTACCCTAAGTAAAGGGTGATTAGGCCATAGTCAAACACGCTAGCCAAGTGCGGGTTGGTTGACTTTACACATATCTTTGAATTTCTTCTAAGATATGTGTAGTTCGATCACGATGTTTTCCTTCGCCGTAGGAACGTCGCATAAATGTAAATATGTAAATCGGAAATCGAAAAACACATTGGTATAAGGCGGGATTTGAACCCAGGACCGGCAGATTGCAAGTCAAGTGCTTAACCGCTGAGCCACCGACGCTGTTGTGATATTATTTAATATTAGAACATTTCAACATACCCTGCCAAACCATCCTCTACCAATTTCGCGCAAGTACTGTAGACGATTCCTGGATAAATCTTCACCACCTGGAACGAAAAGGAAGTAATCATTTTAATAGGAAGAGTTGTTTAATTGTTTTTAATTCATATATATTTTTGAGCTTAGTATTTTAGATTCAAAGTAACAAGAATTCGAATGGAAGACCCGGGAACCATTACAAATGCCCCTTGAACTACGCGGGCGAGGTAACCGATATCTATTGAATTCAACTCTATTGAATACACAATAACTTATATATAAATATGTAAGACGTAATAGGAAATGCAACAGAGTACCGTAACACAGTCGTTTTCAACTGACGACAACTACACGGTAAGTTTATGCAATAAACTCATTCTACTCAGTAACTGTATAGGCATTGTAAAGGTGTGTCTCCACTCGTGTGTTTGAGATTTTAATGTAATTTGTGAAGAGTCAGAGAGAAACTGGGAATAGGTTCGGGTACTCATTTATATATTTTTTTTCGTTAATAATAGGTAAATTACATTTCAGTAAGTTTAAAATGCCTCCCGCATGACCTCTATTTACAAATGACACTTACTCAATTTATAATAATAATTTCCATACTAACCGAACCAATCAGCACATCTTTCCAGAGGATCGATGACTCGCAAGTCCGCGGGCAGTGGTTCAAATTCGACAACCGATTCTCGGCTTATCCTGTTGCGCTCCTCGTTCTCACTAACAATGTACGCTGCAGCGTTGTTATTGGCAATGTTCTGCATCTCACGTAGTGAGATCGGACCATTGTTGTTGTCTTCGCTGATGTTGTTGTTGACCGGCTCCGAGAACACAGCGTCGGGCGGCGCGCGCGCATTGTGTAGGCTCGCGGTCGGCGCGAACAACTGTTGATGTTAAACTGTTTAGTGTGAAGCGTACTTTATTATAGTATTCAATTTAAAAGAGGAATTGATAGAAAAACATAAATTAGGTATTTTTAATTCAGGAGACTTTATAAAACATTGATTTGCAAGGACTTATTAAGCATTATTATTTATAGTTATTTGTCAAATGTCATTTTAAAATAGAAAATTACTACAACACCAATGGTCAACCAGAGGAACCAGAGGAAAACAAAATTACCAAAATCAAAATTAACTAAATCCCAACGACACATTCATTGCAAAAACTCCAACAAACCCACCATGCATTAAAATACCCATTATTAATTTAAGAATTTAATAACCTAAAAAAAATCATGTACAAATAAAGCTTACAAGCCTTAAAATATTACATTCAACGATTTAATAGCGACACGATCACAAAAAGCATCGCAAAATATCAATTTAAGATAACATAAATTAAATAAAAATCAAAGATATCATTTAAAATCGTCAGAATTACAATAGAACAAAGTTTATCTAGCATGCATCTGTGTCAACATAAAACAAGGCGAGGCAAGCACAACGCAACACAACACAAGCCACGTCATCAGCGTGCGAATTAGTGCTACCTGATTGTCTGCTCCTTCGTTCGGCTGTCGACAATACAGAAAAAAACATCCTATGTAGTAATCATAATTAACACGTAACAACACATATGATAGGAACTTTAATAACTTATATTTGCCATTTGTTGGAAAAAATTAACGTAACGCAAATCTTCAGAGATTAACACCCTCAGCGCCAAACCCTAAGTGACCGTATAAAAAAAACACAATTATTTTTTTGTTGGGATGTGCTCAAATATATATACTTTTTAATGTGTATACTTTTGAGTACACAGCGTTCTAGACACTGTGTGACAAAAAGATACACATGGCGCCCAAGGTGTTAATATTGTTTAAAAAAACGAACGTATTTATTATTTCAATGCATTGTATAGAAACTTAAAATATCAAGATGCACACAATGTTTTGCAAAAATAATGTCAATAGGAAAATGCAACTAGGAATTAATTCTAGTGAGTAATATATTTTAAATGGCACGTAATAAATCCCCTAATTGGTAGATTGCCATAGTAACAGCAATATGGTAGTAATCTTTACAACACGATCGTAAAATGGTAGCAATAAAACATCTCACACAAATCGTTTATTTTTTTTAATATTGGATAATCTGTCTGTATCGAACATTAAAACATCATACAAGTTAAACAAAAATATGAAAAGTCCAAACAGTTTTAGACATAAAAAAAAGTCGTCGAAAGTCGTCAGTATGTAGAAGCTTTAAAGATCGCAAACCATTTCAATATGATATTAGCATCATCGTTAAAAGACCGGCACGCGAGAACTGACCAATGGCTCAAGCATGTCTAATGAGGGTGCAACGTTATGTGATTTAAATCGAACCATCCGAAGGAAAGAGTTACATCTACTATAAGAGATATAAGTATATTCGTCATAAAGGTCACAATCTACCGGATAACAGGCTATGTTTAGTTTATAAATTGTTTTAAAGTGAACGTCCATATCAGTGTTTCCCTTTATCAATGTAATTTTGACATATCCTTTTTGGTCCATAAATAAATATGTACTTTTAGACATTATTAATTAGAATCCTTTGGTTTGAATGGCGCGCTTTCATAACCAAGTCAAGTGTCAGAATCATTAGTAAAGGAACATAAACGTCGACATTTTAGTAAGGTTAGTGTTGTGTCAGTACACCGTCAGTGTCGGATTTTCTTCCTAACAGTACCTAGTTGCTCTTTGCGACTACTCATTTGTGATACCTTCTCCTAGTTGGAACTCTCCTACAAAAATACTGGCAACAATAAACATTGACATAAAGTGATTTAACAATGTTCATTTGCCTTCCTCGCGTGCATATATTACGTCACAAAAGTCTAAAGGGTCTATTCGACTAGCGGCATAGATATAAATAATTCTTATTTCTAAATCAGAATCACACATTCATTGATTCCATTAGAGATAAGGTGGTATTACCCAACCGGCATGTGGGCCGGGGCCATTTTGCAGCAACAATGGCTGACAATTGGCGGGAACGATGTTCACGAGTAGAGGCAATGTCACCTCACAATGGAACAGTAAACCGCTTTATGGCTGCGTTCGGATACGCGCACAATACGATTTCCACCATTGATTAGATTGCGGAATACAACTGTAAATAGTAGAATACAGATAGGCAATATCGAATTTACCGATATGTTACAAAGTTCTTTTGGTAGTACTTTTGTTAGCGCCGGTGGCGACCACCGTGGGGTTTTAGTCGGTGCAAGCCCGACATAACCACCTTTGTCCCCGCAAAGATGGTATGCGAAAGGCATTTCCCCACGATAAAAAAAGGCAATATCGAATTTACCGATATGTTACAAAGTTCTTTTGGTAGTACAAAAGTATAACAAGGTAGGCAAACGAATACTATGTTTAAAAGTAACCTAATTTAAATTGGTCGTCAAAAACTTTGTTGTTTTTTTTACGATGTTAAGCACATTTAGCATTATAAAATTAATGGAGCATAGCTATAAAAATACTACTTATATTGTTAATAAAATCACTAAAATTACTGTAAAAGGTTTGACTTACATGTTATTTACATATAACCCTAATTGTAGGGCATGTGTATTTGAGATTTTAGTGTTGATTATATAAATCTGAACGGTTTAAAACTACAGTATATCACTACGGTTAAAAAGTTATTTACGAATGCATAGTGCACTTTGATGACGTTGTCATAACCGGTCTCCCAGTACTCGTATTTAAACATGACATCAACTGCGCAAGCGCAATATGTACATACATATTTCATAGAAATACTCATTCGTATCGATACGTACTATAAGATTTGAGAATGGTACTCTCAGCGTCGACCGGTGAATTGTAAACCGTTAAATTTAAAAACGTCAATGCCCACCACGCTATCCCAACAATTTTGGCAGCAATACAATGTCGTTAATATTGGTATCTATTTTTGTTTGGAATTCATGTGTGTACATCAAGCGAGAAATGCATTTCGCATTCTGAGAATACAAACATTGTACTGTCATATTTTTTTCATGTTCTAACAAGTATCACATATTACAATTAGCCAGTGACAAATAAAATACCAAGATTCATTTATAACAGTGTTTTACTATCTTAAATATATACTATACTAGCTGTAGCCCGCGACTCCGTCCGCGTGTTTGTCTAAATAATAAAAATTAGGGGTGGACTACCCTTAACATTTAGGGGGATTCAAAATAGATATTGGCCGATTCTTAGACCTACTCAATAAGCTCACAAAATTTCATGAGAATCGGTCTAGCCGTTTCGGAGGAGTATGGAAACGAAAATTGTGACCCCGAGAATTTTATTTATAAGATTAAATAGACGAAAAATATATTTTCACTACCATTACCGTTTCCAGATTTCAGTTGAATAGAGCTATAAAATTTACGCTAAAATACTTATGGGATTATCTACAAAACATTCTGCATCTATTCATTCGTTGGTAATTTTAATGAGGTCTACTCGTTTTCGAGTATTTAATCCTTTCCAACTTGCCAGTAGTATAAAATATGAAAATGAGGTCTTCATCAAAAACCTAATGATACTACTTGAAGCTTCATATATAAAATAACATAAAGTTGAAAATAAAATAAAGTTATTCTTTATTACAAATTAAATTGAGTTTTCCAGATATTTTCTTCATACGATCCAACATCATACAAACTATTTTTTTTAAATACAGACGAATTGAGAACTTCCTTCTTTTTTAAATACAGTTAAAAAGAAAAATTTCCTACGAGGTCAATATGTGTTCCGAGTGGATGATTCGATGTAGATAGCAGGAGTAGGAGCAAGAACAATACTGTGGAAATGGATCACTTGAAGAGCCCTCCTCGAGCCTGCGAGCCCACTTAGCACAGAGTGCCCCGAACATTGTTCATAGAGAGTAAATATTTTTTCACGGGAGTAAAAGAACACAGGTCTTTAAACACGCGCTTTACTTTGAAAGTTAATCAGGCATTTTTTTAACCTGATCTTTTGATTATAACAATCAGGTCTTTCGTCTATTTCATTCGCTATGTTGGTATATTGTCCTTCGCAATATAAGGCATGTCAATTTTCGTTCGTTCGTTCATTTGTCCTATCAATAGGAAGGCCGCTGGTTTTCAATTACTTTTATAATAAAAGACACTTATTTAAAGACGAAATTAATTTAAAAAATTAAAAATGACAATAAAAAATGCTAATTATTAATTTAACCTCGAAGCAAAATGAATATTCCGCTAGCTCCCGGGTCATGCAACACCGTGCTTTTAAGCTGATTACATTATGATGGCAATTTTAAAGAGTATAATAGTGAAGGGGAGCTCGCAAAACTCTTTAGCGGGATTAAAAAGGTCAACGTACATTTGACAGAGGTCGCTGCAGTGTGAACGCAAGATTACTGCAGCGAGCGAGCTCTTTGATGAAAAAAAAAACTCAGTGAACTAGAATTTATGCTGACGCACGCTTTGGATGCAGTTTTTCATAAAGTTATTGTTTGGTATTAAGTGATCATCGCTTCCTATTTGACATAATTAAACCTAAATTAAATATTTATAAAAATCTAACTTTAAATTCACTAGGTAGCTTTCAGCTTATAACAAATGAGGCTTTCTATGTGTTATTGGGTTGACCCGATATTCCGTAGAAATCTTCGATTGATTAACCAAATTTATAACTGCATTAAACTAAATGGCACCGCTCATCTCTTTCTTAAACCAATTATATTCAGATTCATAGGTTTTTAAGCAGCTTTATATGAAATACGTCAAAAATTAGTTTGGTGTTAATTCAATAAACTAACCTATTATATTTGAACGATTAAAAACAATAATAAAATCTTACCACGAAAGAATGTCAATGAAATTACAACAATCTCGTGTTACTCTTTGTTAATTTTATTATCATCAAAGTGACCTTTATAATCACGATCATAATGAGAACTAAGACCTTAAATAAGATTCGTAATGTAAACAGTCGGGCAACGAAAACAATTTAGCACGTGACTAAGTGGAAAATATAAAAATAAAATAATTGACTTAGTCATAATGGCAATATCGCAAACGTCATATGTTTGGTATTCATATGCATCCTTAATCATGAAGCAAACAAGTGCGCAGTTTCATAATAAATACATGCAACATATATTAATAAGAAGTACTTTAAAAAAATTAAGACATCCGACTGATGGCAACCCTATAGAATTCCGTAGAAGAATACGAACGGTATGACACGTCACTCTTTAAAAACATTGACTACTATAAATGGACTAGCTATAAGGGTAGTATTTTGTGCCTAGTTGATTTTCGCCATTTTGATGGTAGCGGTATGTTGTTGTGAATTCGAACTAATAATAAGGATAAATTAAAATATCACGTAACATCAACATGTTCGTTTAAACCGGAACGAATGATGAATGTTATTTCCAAGCAATCGCCTATCCTTTACAGAGATCAATAGGTATAAAGAAACAGTATACTTATTAGACTTTTAAGCTTTTGTCAAAAAATTCTTTTAAAAAGTCTCTCTCGACAAGAAATAGTACT